AAGGAGATCAGTCCTGGGTGTTCATTGGAAGGACTGATGCTGAAGCTGAAACTCCAATACTTTGGCCACCTCATGCGAAGAGTTGACTCATTGGAAAAGACCCTGATGCTGGGAGGGGTTGGGTGCAGGAGGAGAAGGGGACGACAGAGGATGAGATGGTTGGATGGCATCACCAAATCGATGGACATGAGTTTGGGTAGACTCTGGGAGTTGGTGATGGACAGGGAGGCCTGGCGTGCTGCAATTCATAGGGTCGCAAAGAATCAGACATGACTAAACAACTGAACTAAACTGAACTGAACTGACACTTCTTACTGGGCTTCCCTCATAGCTCAGTTGGTAAAGAATTTGCCTTCAGTGAAGGAGACCCAGGTTCAACTCCTGGGTCTGGAAGAATCCTGAATCCTGGATCTGGAAGAATCCTGGAAAGAATACCTGGGTCGGGAAGACCCCCTGGAGAAGGAAATTGCATCCCACTCCAGTACTCTTGCCTGGAGAACTCCAAGGACAGTAGAGCCTTGGCAGGCTACAGTCCATGGGGTAGCAAGGGTTGGACATGACTTGGCAAGTAAATCACCATATTTCTATTGGTAAGGTTTATGCTGTTAACCTTAAGTTAAGGTTTATAGTGAGTAAGATATATGTTGCCTGTCTCCATACACAGTTGAACTAGCTGCTTACTAATCCTCATACCCAGCTGAAACATAATTTGCTTGTCAGAATTTTAAAAACAACTTCTAGCCAACATTATTGTAAAACTTAATGACTGCTCTGTAAATTGCAAGGTTTTGTTTGACAGGCATAATGGGGAATATTCTAATATTACTAGAAATGTGGTGAGGCTAATAAATACAAAATAATGAATCTGTAAACTTTGGGGAAACTATTCACATACTCCTAAAATTCTCACACTTTTGCTATGAATGATCAAGATCTAAAAGCAATGAATAGTACTTCTGCATCTTCTCATTTGCTAGAGATAGCAGCAGGTGGTGATGCCCTTCCTCACAGGCCAATTTTCAGAATCTTATTGAGATGAATAAACTTTAGACAATTTCTAATTCTCCCCTATGAAAAGTCTTCAGGATAAGAAATACACAAAGGTACTACAGTCTCTCTGACAAATCAAGACTTTAACATTATCTACACCAACAAAAAGTCAATAAAAGAAGACAGTTTTTCACTGCTTTTCCAGTCCTAGGCATATAACACTGTAGGCACTCAAAAATTTCTGTTGTGTTGACGGAAGACGAATAAATGATAATTTCATAGATTTTCAATTGATTTCTTTATATAAACATCAATTTATAGATTATGTCTGGGTTTAAGAAAAACTAATAATTTTATGATAGACACTGTCTAATAGGATGAAATTCATGAAGACTTTTTTACAAAGCAGGAGAGATTCTGAAGAAAAAATGGCAGATAATCATGGAAAAAGAACAGTCTAACAAGTGAAAAGGCTGGCTTACATCTCAACATTCAAAACACGAAGATCATGGCATCCAGTCCCATCACTTCATGGCAAAATAGATGGGCAAGCAATGGAAACAGTAGCAAACTTTATTTTCTTGGGCTCTGAAATCACTGCAGATGGGGAATGCAGCCATGAAATTAAAAGACCCCTGCTCCTTGGAAGAAAAGCTATGACAAACCTAGACAGCATATTAAAAAGCAGAGACATTACTTTGCCAACAAAGGTCCATCTAGTCAAAGCTATGGTTTTTCCAGTAGTCATGTATAGATATGAGAGTTGGACTATAAAGAAAGCTGAGCACCAAAGAATTGATGCTTTTGAACTGTGGTGTTGAAGACTCTTGTGTCCCTTGGACTGCAAGGAGATCCAAGCAGTCCAGCCTAAAGGAAATCACTCCTGAATATTCATTGAAAGGACTGATGCTGAAGCTGAAACTCCAATACTTTGGCCAGCTGATACAAAGAACTGACTCACTGGAAAAGACCCTGATGTTGGGCAAGATCGAAGGCAGGAGGAGAAGGGGACGGCAGATGATGAGATGGTTGGATGGCATCACCATCTCAATGGACGTGAGTTTGAGCAAGCTCCTGAAGCTGGAGATGGATAGGGAAGTCTGATACCTGCAGTCCATGGGGTCGCAAAGAGTCGGACACGACTGAGTGACTAAACTGAACAAATCTTTTAAAGTGTCTAGTCCACAGAAAGTTTACCTGTATCACCAAGTTTTTATTGGCTTTTCCTACAGATATTCACAATGCCCATCCCTGATCATCATTTGTAATCGTTCCCACAGCAACCACTTGTATATATGTGTGTGTGCTACTTTAATATCTTATTAACCCCTTTGTCATTTATGTGATCACTAAAGAAAATCGTGAGGCAGCAGAATGGGTTGTCCTGTGATAGGGGTGTGTGATATCACAAGCAGGAAAGCAGTGAAACCCTTAAAGATTGAATGACAGACAGGGTAAGCACCTGGTGGTCTTGAGGGTACTATGTGACATAAAAGCACCAGATAAAGCTTGTGAGATGCTAAGAAGAGTATAAAAGCAAACTAGAGATAAATGTGACCTCTGTGACAATTTTAATGAGGACCAGTCCTATGTCTGTCTGCAATTAATACACTCTGGAATAGCTTCCTATGAAATATGAAACAACAATGATAATAGCAAAAAGCAAAAAATGTAATTCTGAGAAGACTGTTGCAGAAATTTCCATTGTCCCAAACTGGCAGCTTTTAAAAGCTTAATTTTCTATCTGGGCCACAAGATAATAATTTTTAATTCCAGTAACTAGTATGTCTCTAGTTACACTTCAAGGGGGCTCTACAAATGATGTACCCTGTTGCTTTTGAGAATCCTTAGATGACCTCTCCATTGTAGGACAGGTATTTCCACCAATTACCTAGAACATCAAATCTCATTGATTTCGTGCCCTGGTACAAAGGAATAAGCACTAGAGAATGAGACTGTGAGAATTTCTTGATAAGCTAAATTACAAGTGAAATTTTTGACTTTAAGAAACATTTTTCTCCAATTTCCCTGGTAATTTTCACTCTGTACAATTCTTTTCAAAATGGCTTTCTTAGAAGGTGGCATTTCAATGAATCCACTGAAAAATTTTACCAGTTATGAAATGTTTTCCACTAAGGAACTCCCAAGTCTTAATTCACATGACATGCCAGGAAGTAGCTAGCATTTTTATTATGTCCACTTTTCTGACAGAGAAAACTGGGGCCCAGAAGATCAATCTCAGTACCTATTTCACCTTTTTAATTTTCTTTCCCATTATCATGTCCTAAACCATCATCTTCTTTAGCAAAATTGCCCCCTAACGTAAAATGCAGCCATCAATTGTAAACGAGAACTATAAAAGGCTTCTACTTTCATTTATATCTGTAAGACTAGATGTAGGTTCAGAATAACAGGCAGAAGTGATATATTTATCCTTCTGTTAATAAAGCAAGACAGGTAGAGTTAACTACTCCAGCTAGGCATAGGAATGCAGATGTTTTAAATTAACTTGTATTTTAGCATATGTCCTTCTTGCACCAGTTTTCCTGACATAAGAGTTCTAATGATGGCACAATCACCTTGGAAAATCACTTGGCACTTTCCTATAAAGGTAAATATACACTTACTAATCTATGAAGCAATTATATTCTGAGTTATATATCCAAGAGACATGAAAACATATATCTACATGAACTCTTGCACACAAAAGTTCATAGCAACTTTTTCGACATAGGTCCAAATTGGAAACAACTCAAATATCCATTAGTAGAATGAATTGGCATGTCTACACAATAGAATACTAGTCAGAAATTTAAAGAAAAAAATAAACTAAGAAATCATGCAACAGCTTGGACAGAATTAAGAAAACATTATTAAAACATTATTCTCAGTAAAAAGTGAAAGTATAGTCGCTTAGTTGTGTTCAATTCTTTGCAACCCCATGGAGCCTGCCAGGCTCCTCTGTCCAAGGAATTCTCCAGGCCAAAATACTGGAGTGGGTTATCATTCTCTTCTCCAGGGGATCTTCCTGAGCCAGGGATCAAAACCCATCTCCTGCATTGCAGGCAGATTCCTTACTGTCTGAGCTACCAGGAGTATTTGCTATATGATTAGATTTGTATGAAATTCCACAAAGGAAAACTATGCAGATAGAAAGCACAGAATTGGTTGCTGTGACTGAGGTTTGGGGATGGGAGACAGATTAAATGGGAAAAGGTGTAAGGAAATATTGTAAATTAAAAAGTGCTCTGTATCTTGATTGTGATGGTACTTACATGAGTATACACATTTGTCAACATGTATCGATGTGTTGATTTGAATGTGTTTATTCTGTTATAAGCAAATTACACCATTACAAATTTCATTTAAAAATTTAATGGACCATACAATCCATGGAATACTCTAGGCCAGAATATTGGAATGGGTGGCCATTTTCTTCTTTAGGGGGTCTTCCCAATCCAGGGGTCGAACTCAGGTCTCCCACACTGCAGGCAGATTCTTTACCAACTCAGCCACCGGGGAAGCCCAAAATAATTTTAAGGGTATTTAAACATAAATAGGGTTTCCCTGGTGGCTCAGATGGTAAAGCACCTGTTTGCAGTGCGGAAAACCCAGGTTTGATCCCTGGGATGGGGAGATCCCCTGGAAAAGAAATTGACAAACCACTCCAGTACTCTTGCCTGGAAAATCCCATGGACGGAGGCGCCTAGTAGGCTACAGCCCATGGGGTTGCAAAGAGTCGGACACAACTTCACCTTCACTTTCTAAACATAAATAGAAAAATTATTTTCTAGGTCATTGTAGGCAATATGGGTTCTGTCATTTTAACAAATATTTGCTGACCACAAGGCACTGCAATTGCCCTCTGCTGGAGACAAAGATGAGTCAGACGAGGAAGGCAGAGTCTCCTAGGAAGTACAGCCCAGGCACAACAAAAAAATGTATGGCTCAAGTGGTAATGGATCCACTTGCAGTGCAGGAGACTCAGGAGACAGGAGTTCAGTCCTTGGGTCCAGAAGACCCCCTGGAGGAGGAAATGGCAACCCACTCCAGTATTCCTGCCTGGAAAATTCCATGGACAGAGGAGCCTGGCAGGCTTGAGTCCATGGAGTTCAAAACAGTCAGACATGACCGAGCATGCATGCGATGGATGTTAAGTATGAAAAAGGAGATCCTGATATGCTCTCATTTCAGAACACTTCAGAGCATGTAGCACAGCCCTTGGCACAAGTAAGATGGTAGGCTCTGAGAGACGGCATCAGAGGGCAGACAGATTGAATGACAATCACAGACAACTAGCCACTTTGATCACATGGACCACAGCCTTGTCTAACTCAATGAAACTAAGCCATGCTGTGTGGGGCCACCCAAGATGGACGGGTCATGGTGGAGAGGTCTGACAGATGTGGTCCACTGGAGAAGGGAATGGCAAACCACTTCAGTATTCTTGCCTTGAGAACCCCATGAACAGTAATGAGAAGGCAAAAGGTAGGACAGTGAAAGGTGAATTCCCCAGGTTGGTAGGTGCCCAATATGCTACTGGTGATCAGTGGAGAAATAACTCCAGAAAGACTGAAGGGATGCAGCCAAAGCAAAAACAATACCCAGTTGTGGATGTGATTGGTGATAGAAGCAAGGTTCAATGCTATAAAGAGCAAGATTGCATAGGAACCTGGAATGTTAGGTTCACGAATCAAGGCAAATTGGAAGTGGTCAAACAGGAGATGGCAAGAGTGAACATCGACATTCTAGGAATTAGCGAACTAAGATGGGCTGGAATGGGTGAATTTAACTCAGATGACCATTTAATCTAGTACTGCGGGCAGGAATCCCTTAGAAGAAATGGAGTAGCCATCATGATCAACAAAAGAGTTTGAAATGCAGTACTTGGAAGCAGTCTCAAAAATGACAGGATGATCTCTGTTTGTTTCCAAGGAAAACCATTCAATATCATAGTAATCCAAGTCTATGCTTCAACCAGTAATGTTGAAGAAGCTGATTGAACAGTTCTATGAAGACCTATAAGACCTTCTAGAACTAACACCCAAAAAAGATGTCCTTTTCATTATAGGGGACTGGAATGCAAAAGTAGGAAGTCAAGAGCTATCTGGAGTAACAGGCAAATTTGGCCTTGGAGTACAGAATGAAGTAGGACAAAGGCTAATAGAGTTCTGGCAAGAGAACACACTGGTCATAGCAAACACCCTCTTCCAACAACACAAGAGGAGGCTCTACACATGGACATCACCAGATGGTCAACACTGAAATCAGATTGATTATATTCTTTGTAGCCAAAGATGGAGAAGCTCTATACAGTCAGCAAAAGCAAGACTGGGAGCTGACTGTGGTCAGATCATGAACTCCTTATTGCCAAATTCAGACTGAAATATAAGAAAGTGGAGAAAACCACTAGACCATTCAGGTATGACCTAAATCAAATACCTTATGACTATACAGTGAAAGTGAGAAATAGATTTAAGGGACTAGATCTGACAGACAGAGCGCCTGAGGAACTATGGACGGAGGTTCATGACATTGTACAGGAGACAGGGATCAAGACCATCCCCAAGAAAAAAGAAATGCATAAAAGCAAAATGGCTGTCTGAGGAGGCCTTACAAATAGCTGTGAAAAGAAGAGAATCAAAAAAGCAAAGGAGAAAAGGAAAGATATACCCATTTGAATGCAGAGTTCCAAAGAATAGCAAGGAGAGATAAGAAAGCCTTCCTCAGTGATCAATGCAAAGAAATAGTGGAAGACGATAGAATGGGAAAGATGAGAGATCTCTTCAAGATAATTAGAGATACCAAAGGAATATTTCATGCAAAGATGGGCTCAATAAAGGCCAGAAATGGTAGGGACCTAACAGAAGAAGAGGATATTAGGAAGAGGTGGCAAGAATACACAGAAGACCTGTACAAAAAAGATCTTCATGACCCAGATAATCACGATGGTATGGTCACTCACCTAGAGCCAGACATCCTGGAATGTGAAGTCAAGTGGGCCTTAGGAAGCATCACTACAAACAAAGCTAGTGGAGGTGATGGAATTCCAGTTGAGCTATTTCAAATCCTGGAAGATGATGCTGTAAAAGTGCTGCACTCAATATGCCAGGGAGACCTGGGTTCAATCCCTGGGTTGGGAAGATTCCCTGGAGAAGGAAATGGCAACCTACTCTAGTACTCTTGCCTAGAAAATTCCATGGACAGAGGAGCCTGGTGCAGGCTACTGTCCATGGGGTCGCAAAGAGTCGGACACAACTGGACGACTTCACTTTCTTTCTTCTCTTTCTTTCTTCCTCCATGTCCCCTGTGCCTTAAGTTGAAGAAGACACAGAACTAACTGCTTGTGTATTCTCTGCTCCCCAGGCACACATGTTCTGAGTCTAGCTTTGGGCTTTTCTCTCCTTCTGCCTGGAATGTCCTTTATCTCTTGTCCCTTGGATAACATCCCTTTCCCTCCTACCTCAACACAGGATGGATTACTAAATAATGACTCCCTTTCAAATACTCTCAAAATGTGTCTTTATTACTTCCTTTATCACAATGTTTTATAATCTTTTTTTTTTTCCATCTCTACTAGACTATCAGTCTGTTAGGGGCTATATCGTACTCCTTTATCCTGATCACCTTATATAAAGTCTAAGATACTAAAGATAAATACTGTGTTGAACAAAAGAATGAATAATTTCTAAATGTGGACCAGCTTTCCACAGTGAGAAAGAAAACAACTGCCCCTTCCCTTCAAAGGAGACAAAATAAGCTGGAGATATTCGTAGCTCTTGTTTCACAAGCCAGTGGAATTTGGAAGCAGTCTTTTGCTGTCCTTTACCAGATACTGAACTGCTTTCAAGACAGCTGTGCTCTCCTGGGCCCAGCAATACATTAAAAACTCCCTGAGGACCCAGGCTGCCCATGGCCCTTTCTGTCTGAATCTTTAGGATATTGAAGGTTTTCCAGAGTTTGTACCCTTAACCTTGCCTCAAGACCCAGTTATTGGTCCCTGGGGTTTGGTGGGGAAGTCTACCCACAGTTTTGCCAGTTAAAGGGAACTTGTACTACTTTAAATACCATTCCCTGTGACTAGGGCTTAATGCTATTTTTTCTTCCATTCATACAGCATTTCTCTAGCATATGATTCCTCTGATGTTCCTAGTGTCATTTTCCCCCATTCCCACACACTTAGTTTCAGAAGCTTAAACTTTTAACAGATGGATGAAAATTGCCATGGACTATTTATACGTGATTCTTAAGAAATAAGTATTCTTTAAGTCATTATTTTTATCCCATCTGAGGACCCTCTGGTCTACCAGCTCACTTCATTGTTCCAAATGGCAATTGTTAATGGTGGAGGTCAGCTCTGAAAACTGTTCAAATTTTCTCCTCCATAATTTGCTCCTATGGAAGCAGATTCAGACTTTTTTAATTTATCTTGATACTATCTTAATCCCAACTATAAATCCATTGCTTCTACTGACCATGGCAATAACACTTGAGAAGGAGTATCTGATCAGTAATTAGGCCAATGGACATCTCCTGCTCACAGTTCCATGTGCTATTCTAGCCAATGAATGTCTTGCGAAAACTCTTCCTTATAGCACTATTGCTGTCTTACTATACAAATGCCTTGAGCCTCTACTCTAGGAACCCCAAACTATACCAAAACAAACAGAAAAATACAAGCTGAACTCAGATTCTGTACGTGGATCAACTTTTTGAACTGTTGAAAAATTGTGTAATCTTTCATAAGAACAGATGAGTAGATACACAAGGTGACTTAACTGGGATCTGAAATGTTCCTGTGAAGACACGCAGAAGCTGGCAACTTTGATAGACTGAGTCAGGCACCACCCAGATCCTCTTCCAGGAAAAGACTTGTGTTCGGTTGCAACACTGTGGTGAGCTGACAGCTTATAACTGCTCACCTTTTCAAGTTACTTTCGGTTTATAAGCTGAGGTCAGGGTCCTCTCGGGGAGGCCTCAGGCAACAGACAGTAAAACCGTGGTATAAGGACCCAGCCGTTCTATCCAATGCAAGATTCCTCTAGTCGGCCATCTCTGCCCAAGAGTTCTCTGTTGGGCTGGTGAAGACTCTCCTCGTACCTGTTTCAGGGTCTGACTGCTCCCCTTCTTCAATCCTGAGTCCGCCCTATTTCTTCCATGGGTGTTACTCCTCAAGAAACCTTTTGCACTTCTAACACCATCTATCTGTCTGATTCCCAGAGGCTTCAATTCCTTACTTGGATTTGATTTCTCTCTCCGATAGGATTAGGGTAAATTCTAAGAAAGTTAAAGAAGAAAAAGAAACTCACCCAAATGACCCCAGTGTATCTAACTGAGAGAAACTCAAGCAAACTAAATGGAATCCCAACAAATCTCTTAACCTCAGCTTTCCTGGAAGCTCCTGGAAAAAAATCAAGCCACTTTACTCAACAATGGACAATATATATACTCCTGAGTAAGAAAAGGCCCAATACCCAGAACCAGTACTAGTTTTCTCCTGAAAAAGACTGTTTTAAGGGAATAGTAGCAGACAATGGTCAGGTGTCCTCCATGTAGAGACAGTTCAGAGTCGTCACTGGAGTATAGATAGCTACTTCCTCTTTGATTCAGAACCTGCTGGAAGGTCATTGCTATCATATGGGACACTGGAAATGACTGTGCAGAAGTCTATGGATAAAGTAGATGGTACTTTTGTGTCTGAAAGGCCAAGTCTACCCATCAGGTGAGTGCAGCCAGGGGAATTGGAAAGCAATGGCAATTAATAATATGAAGAGACCTTTGTAAACTTCCTACAGCTGCACTGGGTCTCTAATATCCTATCCTAAAGTCTGCTTTTGCTTTCATACCCCTGAACTCTTGAATTTCTGGATTTTACCCTTTGCCCACTTTTTTTCTGGATAAGATCTCCATGAGTCTTGCCTGAATTGGCCTGCAGTCACCCTGTCTGCACCTATACTTGATCCATGACCTGCTGGTCAGTTACAGCCAGTCATTCGCTTCTGCTTCACAGTGATTTTCCTTTGCCTATGCTGGGTATTTCCATCACTACTTCCTTTGTTTTAGCTTTTATCATCCCTCTCCCCAGCCAAATCAAGAATGACACAGGCTCCATGTCTATCTTCGTAGGCAAACAAATGCCCTTTGAGAACCATATGCTGGCCATAGTTCATAGCAATAAAGATGCTTCAAAATCCTCTACATTAAAACATTTTTGAAAATGGCTTATTCTT